AACCCCTAATACTACGTGTTTTGAAAAAAGAAGTATTCCGGAAAACTACACAAAACAAACAACAACAAAGTTTATAGAATATAGTTATAACGTTTCTAAAATAGTTACAATTATCGTCCCTTTGTTTCTTAAATCGATCAGAATCGAGAACCGTGTTTCATCAAGTGTACATCACTAATTGTAAAATTTTACCAAAAACATGACGAAGCGGCCCTACCACGAAACTGAATGCATTATACGAAAGTATTGCACGTTCGATATTTATGGCTCCAAAGAAAGACCACGGTGTACCGCACCAAGGAAAAGCCCCAACGAATTACAAATCACGCGGCATACACTCATTTGCATATTTGTTTTCTCGAAATTCATTTGAAATTAAAATAATTTATTTTAAAATAAATTAAGGACAGTTCTTCTGACCATTACAAGGTTACGTAACGTCCTTATTTATCTTCTCACAGCTGTGGTGTTTTTGCACTTTCTAACGGCACAGTTAGGCATATTTCGTGTTTTCGACTGATGTTTTAGACTATTACCACACTGCACCGTGTTTTTTCTTTTTTTGCTTCTCCGGTGCGGTGCACGCAGTTTTACCGGCCCCGGCGAACCGCTGGGTATGGCACATTGCGCTCCGCACTACCGCGCAGATTTTTAATCAATTTGTGTCTATTTCAGTAATTGTCGTTCGGATTTCCCCTAACAAATAATCAAAGGATTCAGTTGACATTCGTGTGTAGTTGAAAAATTAATCTTCATATTTTCTTAAATCTTTGTAATGAAGTTGAATGTTACCTTCGGTGTCTTTTTATTTGAGTAAACGAACACCAAATTGACAATATGACTGCAGCGTCCTGATTGAGTTCTGTATTATTAACCATCCTTGTCAAAGAAGAATCTCGGCTACATGTACAATCACTGAGGCGATCGACTACGAAGCGACTACTTTAAGTAGCAGATCTGTGTCTCACGCACCGTCTCAGGGCGCGGTGTAGTGTGTTAATCGCCTTACGATAACAGCCAGGCGCGTTCTGAAGCGTATCAGCGCCAACTAAGCGTTTATTAAAAATTGGGCACGCGAAGCAGGTACAGTCAAGAGCACATCAACCTTGACACTTTGTGCTTTGGGTCGTTCTTATCGTAAGCGGCGTAGAGTTGGATTTAAGTCTTAAGTGTCAAGCTTGACGTGCTCTTGACCCTGTACACTTGCGGCGTCTATTTAGATGAATTATGTCTGGGATATACACAGATAAAAGAGCTTCTAACTTACAACTCTGCTTTTTTGTGTCGGGGTCTAAAAATAGCACTGTAATATCTCAAAAAGCCGTTTTACTAATTAACACACTAATTACAAATTAGCGCCCCAGCCGAGGTTGAGCCTAATCCGCACGAAAAGACCAGACCCACGAGTGGAGCCAAAAGATCAGGACTACTACGGTGAGGAAGAAGACGATAGAGATCAGGAAGAAATGGACAATACAGACGGAGTCAGAAGAAAGAGGTATGTTTTATTTTTGTGGTTAAAATAAGTGCGCATTTCGATACCTCCAATGAAACACTACGCCTAATAATTTTTTAATAATTTTGTGATATTTTTGTAAATTTCCGCATTCATTTACAAATTATGCTCCTCGAATTTCGCAAAAAAATTAAGAAATATAAAACAAAATTGGAAAAGAAAAGATTTTTGTGAAAAAAAATAAAGGAACAAAAAACAAAAGTAAAGGTAGGAGGTTCTTTCTTCCTTTGGATGAGATTACCAAAACAAGCCAAGTGAAACTCCAAATTGTTGTTTGTTCAGTTGTTATTTTCACCCTATATGCGGAAGGTCCGGGCAGTTGTTCCCAGAAGGGACTCGACTCCTGGAAACCGTTCCGCGAGATGAGGTTTTTCACCCTACATGAGCGTACGAAATGTCAGAAGATCCGGGTAGCAATTCCCAAGAAGGGACTCAACTCCTGGTTGCATTACTGAGCTCTCCGTATTCTCCGTATTCTCAGTACTCTCAGTACTCTCAGTACTCTCAGTACTCTCAGTACTCTCAGTACTCTCAGTACTCTTACTCTCAGTACTCTCAGTACTCTCAGTACTCTCAGTACTCTCAGTATTCTCAGTATTCTCGGATTTCTCTTCACATTAACAAAATTGTGATCGAGTAGTCACCATTCGAGGGAAAATCTTAACACCGCGATTTAGAAATAACGCCAAATGGGTCAATGCCGTCTAGCGGATTCTTAGAGAACTAAAAGTGAACAATCTGGCTTAAGGCCGTCTATTACATTAAGTAGGTTTGTTACACAATTTTTTATTATTATTATTTTTTAATTATCAAGTGACGGGACGAACAAGTCGTGCAGGTGCACGACTTGTCATTCATCAGGTGATAGTCGTCGTTTATCAGGTGATAGTAAGTTAGTTACACGCCTGTCCATAATAGTTACCATGCCACTCAGAGCTATAAATCGTAAAAGTTGACAAGTCCAATGTGCCTGTAATTTCACCAGCACCCTTACCCTTCCAAACCTGAACGCAGTAATGCTCACATTACTGCTTGGCGGCAGAAATAAGTAAGGCGGCAGTACTTCCCAGGACGAACTCTTTCACAAGGAGCTCTACTGCTACTAGATGAGTGCCTTATTAGAAATACCAAGGGAACGAATTTTAAAGTTCTATTAGAACGAAGCTTGGTGTGAATCGATATTATATCCGAACGTCATTATTGAACTTGACGTTTCTTCCAGGGCCATCAACCGGCCAACCGAAGAGCCACTCCCTGAGAACCCGAACTCCGAACACGACCCGGATCCACCCGACACAGAGCCGGACTACGTGATCACGCTGCGGCCCACGCAAATTCGTACATTTATTATTTGGTTCCATAACCAAATAATATAAAAATATAGAGGGCCTTAAATTTTTAGCTTTAAGCGCAGACCACACCGCGAACGAAGCTAGCTAACTTAGTTTAGCTCACGTAGTTGCATGCAAAGCTAAGCCACACCCCGGACACTCCATACAAAAATCGAACGTTATTTACCTACTACGACATACAGCAAGGCGCTATCTGCACACGCGCCAATGTGTGCGTGAAGTGGCAGGGTTACCCATCACTTTCTCGTACGTGATCAGAGCGGCAACATAGCGAAAATTCTAACGCGAATCTGTTATCTATAATTCTTTTAATAGAATCCTACTAATTACCAAATGTTCATTAATGCCTGCCTACATTTATTTCTCTCGTGAGTTTGGGTGTAATTTGTGGTTATATATGTGTGTCCATGGCACCCGCGACTCTGGGTGTCCTTAGTGCGGTGCTATGAGTATGTAATTCACTGACTAGAATAATATTGAAGATTTATTTAAAAAATCATTAAAAGCACTTATAATGTTATATTTTGTACAGGTACCTACTTTTCGGTAAGGTATCTAAGGTATTTGAAATTGCGTGTCCAATTTTATCTATATATCGACTCCTCCTTACGTAAAGTTTTAAAGTTCTGAATTCACTGAAATGTTATTATGCTCATTCGTGACTTTAGTATTTCTCAGTTTTATTCGGCAAAGCTTGTTACGCACATAGAGTATTATAAAATCCTAGATATCGGCTACATGAACAACCACAATATATATTGTTAAATACAAAAGTAACGTGTTATGCTTATTTCAGTGAATTCAAAACTTTAAAACGCTCTCCTTTTTTTTATGTAAAGAAGGAGGCAAACGAGCAAACGAGCCACTTAATAAGAGGCGGTCATCGTCGCCCATGGACATTTGCAACATCAGATGAGCTGCCTATGCGTTGCCAGCCTTTGAGAGCCCTGTAAACACGCTTTTTGAAGAACCCCATGTCATAGCGCAAAGGGAACATTTCAGGAGAAAGATTCCACACCTTGCAGGTTCAAGGAAGAAACGAACGAGATGCCCGCGTGGTCTTACAATGCCAGGCATCTAAGATGTGGGGATGGACTCTACTCCTTTGGCGGGAGGTGCGATGGTAGAAACGAGACGGTGGCACCAGTTCGAAAAGTTCCTCAGGGCACTCCCCATTATAAAGACGGTAGAACACACACACAGAGCAGAGAACGATAATACGAACAGCCCTACGTTGGATGGAGTCAAGTGGATCAAGCTGGTATTTGAGAGCTCCTGCCCAGAGATGCGAGCAATACTCCATATGGGGCCGTGCTTGTGTTTTATATAACAAAAGTTGGTGACCTGGAGAAAAATACTGCTTCGCTCTAATGAGCACTCCGAACTTTTTTGAAGCCAGTTTGGCTCTCCTATCAACTTGGCAATTTCGACATTCGATACTTTAAGTAGGAGGGGTCGATATATTGGTGAAGGGTGGCCGAAGGACGAGGTATATTTATAATTTTGGTATTTGCATAGCGGGAACGTTTGGTTAGTTAGCTTAGTTCGCGGTGTGAACCGAAGTATGAAAAGATGCCCCGGCTACGTGAACTGAGCTAAGTTAGCTTCGTTCGCGGTGTGACCTGCGCTTTACACAATAGTGTTGTTTATGGTTTAAGGATGATCCCCGTTCTATAGCACACTTAAGCACTGCGGCCATACTCAATGTGCGTTTTATATGTCAGCACGCTTCGGTGACCGTCAGGATGGCTGGTCACCTGTGGCATCTGGCACTGAGTATATATTCAAGAATTGCTACCTATTTGTTACTACTTGCTACCTTTTCTAAATAATTGCTACTTTTGATATAATCTGAGAAATTTAAAAAAAATATTGACCAGCCATTCTGATATCAGGATGGCTGGTCGCCACTGTGTTCAGCATGAAGGGAGCAGGTTTTCCACAAGTATGTATTACCAATAATTGCTACCTATTTGCCACTTTCACGAATTAAAGGTATACGCTTCTTATCTACATTAGTTAAAAAAAATATAAGCGATTAAACATTTTTAAGAAGTGCCTGGTTAAATTAAATTAGTACTAAAACTAAACTATACATACATATATATATAGTATGCCACAGGCGACCAGCCATCCTGGCGGTCATCACGCTTCGGCATCAAACTGGTAAATGGGATAAAGCGTTATAGTCATTAATCGATAACTTAACTAATGTATTATACAGTCGGTTTATGAGTAGATACTACTCAAGCTCGAATTCAATTTTATTCCCGTACTAATACGGTTAATTTTGCTGGGGTCGAAAGACAGGGACACTGGCTTTATTTCAGAGATTTATTTTTTTACAAACTAAATTAAAACCATTTGAAAAATGTATATCGTATACTATACTTGTTCTATTTAGTTCAGTTGATAAAAAAAAACATTGGTATATGTAAAGCACCTATTGAATGTTGCGGTTTTCTTGTATTTTGAGGTTTTTTTTTTCTATAGTGAAAATTTTTATGAATCGTGTTTTTTGCACCAATGTACTATATCCTCAATTTTACTATATATTTTTTCAAAGTGATTCATTCAACTCACTGTTATTCAATGTTATGCGGAATAACCAAAGGTACATGAGGTTATATTGACTCTTAAAGAAACAAGTTTACGTAATAGAAAATTATCACTGCAAAATATTATAAGTAACTTCAAATGTAATTATAATTAGATTATAAGTAAATAAAAAACATGTATATTAAAAATTATTTATTAAATATCCAATTAAATACATTCTTTTTTATACAAACTGTTGTATTCCAAACCCTTCTCGAAAATTGGACTTCTATGCACAGCTTTAGGTACGACAGGGCACACAATGTCACAAAAACGTACTCATAAAAAATAAGCACCACACCACTTTGATTATTACGCCTATCCATAAGTATGTAGAGAGCAGGGATGATATCATGATCGCAGTGGTCCACTAGCGCTTGCTCCCATCAAAAATAACGAGTTGGTCTCGTAATGACTATATCTTCAAAATGACCTAATTAGCATAAGGACTAGATCGCAAAACGACCATCTCTGCTGAAAGACTATATATAACTTACAATGACTTGGTAGCAAAACGACTAGATGTCGAAATGACCCTATCGTTAGATAGCCCACATGGTAAAACGAAAAGGTAGCAAAAATTTTCTTATTGTTTTTTCAAAGTACAGTTTGGTTAAATATTTAGTGTCATCACAAAAAAAAATTATAATTTTATAATTTGTATTTTTATTTGTTTATGCTACCACGGCCGACCTTAACAACTAAAAATTATTGTAAAATAAAATTATAATGCTCTTATTCATAATATCTACAGTGTGTTTATAAACAGAAATCGCATGTGGAATATTCGAATGCAGCACAAGCTTACAGTAATCTACATTCGCTAAAAAAAGCCGAGTTCCGGCGTTTGAAAATAAGTAGGTTCTCGTGGCTACTGCTTACCCACGCGAACCGTAAGATTGACATTACATTTCTCAAAAATATTTCTACTATTAAGTACAATTTAAAGTATAAAATGGAACCAAATTTATAACTTTATTTTCATTCGTATTTTTTTAACAATAAATTATTCACTTTAACGATATAGCCATTTCGATATCTAGTCGTTTTGCTACCAAGTCACTGTAAGTCTTTCTGGGGAGGTGGTCGTATTGCGATCTAGTCCTTATGCTGATCACGTAATTTTCAAGATAATGTCGTTATGATACCGACCAAAAATAATTTACAGCCAGGCAATATCAAATCGACGGCCCCACTGTAGAAATGTGTATGATTAAAACATCAACTTTATATGAAAAGTAAAAACTTCAATAACTCTGCACCTGATGGACTTATTTCGAAAACACACATGACGAAAACGATGCAAATAAATTTACGTTTTCACATCTTAAACGAAATTTTGAATTTTTTAAAGGTTCATATAGGATTTGCAAAATACTAATTACCTAACAGGAATATAATCTGTGGGTACAAGTCAAAAAACTGTACAAGGAAACGCGAAAAATACTTAACGCTTAATATATTAAGGCTTTGAACTGTTTTTCGCGTCTCCTTGTATATTTGGGTTTTTTGACTTGTGCCCCTTATCACTAGAGCCAGAGATTTACTAAAATCATAAACAACAACTCAACCAACCAAAAATAAACTTTTAAATATTTGTTGTAATGTCTGACACGGTGACCTATCAGTAGCCCGAAATGACATTTTCCAGAAATAACGTTTGGTTGAATTTTCATAACCTCGAAAGTAATTTTGAGACGAAAATGTTTTTTTTTCTTTTAAACCTAAGTTAACCTAACCTAACCAAACCTAATCGTGTCTTTGCGATAAACATTAAACATATCCTGAAAGAACAACGGTTTCGTTATAATTCGGTTCTCGATGAATAATGAAAATTCGAACAAACGTTTTGGCCAAAAAAATTTCGACTCTGTGATAGGACCATCCGACACTATTTAGTTTGAATTTGGTAGTAAATTGAAACATGTAAGCAGGAGGACACCGACCCTCATCACTGTTCCTGCGTTTTGCATCGTACCGCACAGAGTCATCAGCGTTTAGAGAGATCGATGTAATATTTTTATTTTTTGTACGAAAGTAATATATGGTGAATTTAAGTCATGGAACAAAAAAAATTATGTTAGTAATATAGTCTTTCGAGGTATTTACTGTATTAGAAATAACCCTATATATTCGTTAGTAATTTGATTTGATTTCCCTAGAAAAATCATTTGAATAATATTTAATTTTTTTTTTTACGTGAGAAAGTATTAGGAAGTTTCACATAAATAATAAAAAATTAGGAAAGAAGGGAAGTTTACAAAATTGTCACATCAGTTAAGACTCCTCAAAGGTTGAAGACAAAATCGGCTTGTTTTTTTACTTTTTGTATGACGCTGATATTTCACGATCCTAGTAACAACTAGTGGTGGACGCTTTTGTTTTGGGTTATTTGTAATGTACTAATATCCTCACAGGAACAACAACTTTTATTCCATGACATTTTACAAAGCATAATAGATATCGCAGTGCTATTACAATAGTGTTGTAACTCAAAATACGTGAAATTCAAGATTATACCATTGTTGAACGTATTTTTTTTAATCTATACGTCAATATTAAGATATCTACTTTACTATAAATTAGACAAACTTTATGTGAACTAGTTCTGGACAAAACCGACCCCTCCTACGCAAAGTATCGTATGTGAAAATTGCCAAGTTTACAGGTTCACAACACTCGTTTTAAAATTCTGAATTCACTCAAACAAGCATAGAACGTGACTTTAGCATTTCTCAGTTTATTCGGCAAAGCGCGTTACTCACATATGAAGAATATTATAAAATTCTAGATATCGGTTAGATGATCTATAATGATCACTCATGTGAGTCTCGAATTAATTCAGAACTTTAAAACGCTCCCCTGTAAACTTGGCAAATTCGACATACGTAGTAGGAGGGGCCGACAGTCGTTACTCAAAAATAAACTTTTTTGTTATATAAACTATCTGACACTTTTTTAGAGTCTGTTTTGTAGGAAGGTTGTATGTTCTGCGTTTTGCATTGGACTGGTATTTACTACGATGGCGCTTTCTTTTGTTATAGCACAAAGTTATCAACATTTACAGCAATCTAGTTTATGATACGAAGTGACGGGACGAACATGTCATGCGCCTGGTAGTAAGCGACACGCCGTCTTTAACAGTGGCTGTGTCACTCGCCACTGCCACTGCACCCGTCATCCTGAGACATAAGTTGACAAGTCCCATGTACCTGTAATTTTACCCACAGCCCTTACCCTTCAAAACCGGAAAGCAGTATCACATCTATTTAAATATTTTTATTAAGTAATGTAATTGAAGTTGTTGTTTATTATGTTAGTATTATAGTCCCGGGAGGTAGTTAGTGTTTTACAAAGAACTCTGCATTTCACTGTGTGTGAGTTACAATATTAATAAATTAAAGATGATTAACATTTTATTTTATAACAAATAAATAAATAGCCCTTTTCTAAACTAAAATCTAAGTTTAACAAAGTTATGCAGACAAAAGCGTCAATTCTGGTCAAATTATTAAATCTAAAAGCAAATTTGACAATTCTATAAAGCCTCTTGACAGTTCAATAGTTTAGTAATAACCAGAATTGACACCATATTCATATGACAGTTATACGAATCATGATAAATATAAACAACATATACATTGCATAATATAAAAAGATCACAAAACAACCATATTGATATATTGCCCACCCCCTCATGGAATAATGGCATAAGTGGAGTTACGTCAAAAACGTTTATTGCTCCATAGATACAGAAAAATATAACCCACGTCCTCTCCAGTTCTTGTAATTCTATCGAGTAATATTGTAGACAGAGTTACAAGAATTGGAGAGGATGTGGGCTATATTTTTCTGTATCTAATGGAACAATAAACATGTTTGATGTAACTCCACTTGTGCCATTCTTCCATGAGGGGTGCGCTGTTTTTAAGTATTGTTTGAGTATTAAACAAAAATATAGAGTACATAAAAGTTTTTTTTTATTAATACGAAGCCTCGTAGCAGCACTGAACCATTTCAATGGCGACTGTTTACTGCTCAATTAACATTACATTTGCACACTGCATCCGATTCGTATTTGTTTCGAATATGAGACTATACAAATCTAGAAAACTCGGACCAACTTCGTATGTCGCTTGTACACCTAGAGGTAAAATGATAGGGATATGACATTTCGGTCCATCATTTCTTGAATTTCGAACTGATACGAATAGGGTAGGTAGCGCGCAAACTCTCTAAAGGAACTTTGGCATTTTTTTTAAACGTCGCTCCAATCCCAAATTAAGTATCTAAAGAAACGGGACACAACGACGGTACCACGAACACCCAGTCTCGAGACAATATAGAAAAATTAGTTTTTCTACATTAACCCAGCCGGGGATCGAACCCGAGATGGTGACACCATGAAAACCGGTATGCAAGCCACTCGACTACAAACTTCGTCAAATTATGTAACGTACACATCGAGTATATAACCAGAAATAGAGACGAAATAAGGGCCATATATTCCTGGTAACATTAGCGATACAGCTCTTATAAATATCAACTCCCGTTTGTACTGAAATATAGACAAGCCAACTACTGACCTGTATGTACGTCTCCGTATATTCCAAAAAATATTCTGTATTTATTGTAATGAAGATAATATCTCTAACAATGCCGTGCTGTTGCTGTTCTATTCGGTGGTGTGGGAAAAACAGCAAAACATCTACATCGGTAATTAAATATTAAATATGTAATTTTGCAATTTTCGTCCATCATAGCAAAGCTCAAGTTAACTGGTCGATATGAAGTGAAACAGTTGACGACACCCGTCAATTGTTTAGAACTCGGGCTGGCCAATCGGAGCGCAGTTGTCACAGTAATGATTTGGCAGAATAGTTTTCAAACAAATTAAATGGCATTTCGTCTCTATTTCTGGTTATATACTCGATGAACGTACAATACGGCAGTTGCGAGAATTATCGAACATCCGCGAAGATTCTGCGGAAAACTCGCGATATGTTTTTTGGCTCATATCTAGTTTGCACGTTACACCATTGACATAAAAAGTTAATTACGCTATAATGTACGAACAAGTCGTGCGCCTGGTGGTAAACGACACGCCTGTCCATAACAGTTGCAGTGCCACTCAAGAGCTTTAAATCTCAAAGATCTCAGACATACGTTGACAAGTCTCATGTGCCTGTAATTTCACAAGCAAAGATTGTAAATTGAAAAAAAGCCTTTCGACCGTCGTTACTGTTATTTCATTTAAAATAAATAGTTAAAAGGAATGTTAGAAGTGAGATGAATTTAGTATGACAAACAGGTAATTTATAAATTGGTGTATTTATTAATAATATAAAAGTAAACAAAATTGGCAGGTTATAGGTACTTTGGATAATAATGATATGTCCAGAACATTTTTAAAACACAAAGGGTAAATAGTAAGTAGAGTAAAATGTTTATGATTTTTTAGTACAATATTGAAGTCGCCCGACAAATCCCCGGATGTCGTGATTGTTGTGTGTCGGTCTAGTGACTACCCTAGTGCACAAATAAATAATGAAGGTCAAGTGCGGGTAGTTAGAAAAACTCGCACGGCTAGCAGATGCTGACACCCGCCTCTTCAATCCCTTCGAGACTATGGACGTTGCAATACGCCCGAAACATTGAGGTAATTAAAATATATTGTATACGTGGTTAAGTCCCGAATTAAAAATCCAATAATATTGAAAGTTATACAAATGACATAAACTTTAAAATTCGTGATAATGTTACACAAATGGCATAAATTTTAAAAATCGTAATTTAATTACGATTTTATTTTATATCGGTAAACATTTTTTATGGCATTTTTATCAACAACGTATTTATACATCCTGGTTCGCTGACAATAGCGTATGTTATTAATCTATGCATTTGCACCTGGTTACAAATATAGCTTCCTTTATCTTAGGACGGACATATCAATATGCCAAATAAATATATATGTATATAATATATTGGTAAGTATATATTAATAAGCAGTTTTTATGACTTTAAAGTACAATGGACCACAAAGACATACTGTCACTATTCGATATTGCAAATTTGAATGTTAGTGATCAAATTTGTTGTTAACAATTTTTACAGGACATCCCGTGGTCGACTGTACTTAGAATTTGAAAAAAGCTAAGCAATTTACAATTACCGCGACGATTCTGACCTGCACGGTAAAAGAAACAAATTTTGACAGATCTAAAAAAAGAGAGATACCAGGGAATTGTGGTTAATTTTCTTGCAAAAGTGACAGGTCAAGTACAATTGGTTTCTATTTTAAACCTATCAAATTTTGTTTAGTTTAGTTAGTCTGACTAACGTCAGAATCGTCATCTAAGACCCTAATTGAACATTCACACAGTCCAACCCGATACCCCAATATCACATTGTCATAAAAAGGACTTATATTAGGAATAATAAGCAATTTGTGATAATAAATATTACTCATATTGGTTTTGAAGACAATTTTAATAACTAGAAATAAATGATAGTGCGAAGGAACGCGAATTTTAATAATCCGCAGTTTCTTTTGTAAACCATTTTCCTGATGTTATTAAATGTTTATGATTTAGGCCTCTATTATAAAGCCACATATTAAAAGAGCCTTCAAAATATTATACGTCTTCTAGAAAATTTGTTCTCTATACTACCAGGTCTCGTTAACTGAAGATGAGTTAATAACAGGAAATAATGATTACTTCTATACGCGGTGTAAGAATAAGATGTAAGAAATGTTGAATGATATCGTCTATTGTAACACTAATGGAGTTATTTTATAATTATGACGTAAACGAATACTTTAATTCACAATATAGAAAACGGAATTCTGAATCGAAACTATGCAAGTAATTTTTTCCATCAAAAGTCAAGGCCATTCGTGATAAACCTAACACGTCTCCATAAAACTACAAACATTATAATAACAAATAAACAAACACTTTATTCACTAATATGACACAGATGCACATTGAATATAGAAATAGCAATAAAAGGGCCCTATCTCAGCATATGCCAAAACTCCCTGAGGCGCTGCTGGTTTTCAGTCAGGGATAATGAGAGGGAAATGTAAAAATCATTTGTAAGAAAAAGCGATACGATTATGAATATAGGAGGTATTCATTGACATAACATATAGTAAAATGTAAATAGTGCAGCTAAAAATAACGAATTAAATTTGGATATGACCGAATTAAAAAAGTTCGAAGAGACTTCTTTCTATGTCACAAACACCTTTTTGTTACCCTCTGTATATTATAGGATAAAACCATTGAGTTACAAATAAATGGACGACGGGTCTAATACAAAAACCACGAAAAAAATCTCCCAAGTCAACCTATTTAAACGTAGTGACATGTAAAGGAATATGAAAAAGCTAAAACGTTGAATTTAAATTGTAATGTCATCGCAGTACTGTCTAATTTTGCTTGCTTCGCTGTCAGTCGAACAAACGAAGACTAAAGCGTGAATGACGCTCTGTATACGATTTTAACGCCCTATAAGTTCGGACACTTTTTAGCGCGGACCCCACGTCCATATAATTGTAAGTCAATGGATAAAACGCAATTATTTCTCTGCACTTAGATACTCTGTCGTGTAGCTTAAAAGACTGCTTGATGTTCAGCACGAAAGGTCAAATTCCAAATCCATTACTGGACTTAAGTATTGAAATATTGCCACAAAGTTACTGCATTTGGTCTTTCAATTCCAACAACATACTAAATTGCGAGCTAGATAAAAAAAGTTTTCCGTTCTAGTTAACTGGATCATAGGAGGTTAAAGTCAAGGATTGCTTTTAAATATCAATTTATGCTAGAGAGTTCCCTGTTAATTTGTCATCTGAAGTTAACTTTACCGATCAGTATGCGTAAAGCTAAGTGATTATCTATTCAAGGTCTAGTGCGGATATTTTGCGAATGAACTCGGCGCGTTGTGCTGATGTTAATTCCTGTAAAAAAAAAACATTTGAAGTTAAATAATGATTTTACTTATTTAAACCGACCAGTAGAATAGGATTAGAATATGTTTCTTTGCCAGATACAGTAATTATAGAAGTCTTAAGTAAAATAAGGTACATTGTTTTCAAAAATGTGACGACAGGTAACCGCAGCTTCTAACGATTCTGTCGTGCAAACGACACGGCGGCTGCCGTGAACCGATAAATTGTCGTCACAACCTAGTGGGAACAGCTAGACACGACAGTCGTCTAACGAACGCGCCCTGACTTAAAGATAGAACTAAACTACAGTCCATTTCACACAGGATGGGTACTGTGCCAGTTCCAACTTACTCCAACTAGTTGATGGGTCGTATTCTAGAACTCTACTCTATGCTGAAGTCAGGATTTGAGCAGACTTGAATATGATTTCAAGCACTGGAAACACGACCCTAATGGCAAGGACTTGAGTATGATTTTCAGTGTTCACTGCAATGCTCAAGTCCTGACTTGAGTATTGAGTAGACTTCTGGAATACGACTCTTAGACCATAGAATTGACAAGTCGAATATACTATTATGTATTTCGCGTCAATTCTAGTGCATGCACCTCGTATGCGGTCAGTTTTCTTTTATTTTTAGCCATCGAGTACATAACCAGAAGTAGAGACGAAATGTCATTTAATTTGTTTGAAAACTATTCTGCCAAATCATTACGGGTGACAATTGCGCAGGAAACAATTGACGACACCCGTCACTCCAAATCGACACGTTTAACTTGAGCTTTGCTACATGTTTCATATTTAATTACCGATGAAATCGATACCGCCAATGAACACTACGCCAATTTTATTGTTTGGTCATTTTCTGTTATTTTTGTAAACAACCATATTATTTACTAATATTATGCTCCCCGAATTTTGTGAAAAAAAAATGAAAAAACAAAAACAAAATTCGAAACCAAAGGAAACAAAAAAACTAATTTTGTGACAAAAAATAAAGAAACAGAAAACAAAATAAAAACTGAATAGGTTAAAAAATTAAGTTGGCGTAGTGTTCCTTTGAGGTATCGAAAT